CCTTGCAGTGCTCTAGGTGGCGCGCACTCGGCAGCCCCTTTCTTCCCCCCTTCGGTCACGTGTCAGGCATGGCCCCGGAGGGGGGGGGGGGGGGGGGGGAAGGGCAGCGGGAAATGTTTGCTCCTCACATGTTCTGCGCTCTGCTTTCAGTTATGCCGCGCCGCGGAGGACCAGGACATGCTGCCCGCTGTCCTCACCCGCGGAGGAGCGGGAGCGCTGCCCGCTTTCCTCCGCGCCGCGGACAGCGGGGCGCGTCGCTTGTAGGAATGCGCTACGTGTACAAACGCGTTGCGTGTAGGAATACTTTAACATTCCTAGGGAGAGAGAGAGGTGACGTGAGAGAAGTTGGGGAGGTTGTTCTAGCGGGATTGCTGAGCTGGTTCCCCATGAAAGAATGTAGAGAGAAAAGAAAGAAAGGGGGATAAAGGAAAGGGGGAAGGAAAATATAGAAAAATAAAATAAAGATGTGAACGCGCTGAGAGTTAATGTGGAGTTATTTCACAGGCGGTTTGCGACACCGGATTCGTCGAAAAAGTTCAGTGGCAGGTGTTGTATTATTTGGCGGCGACGCGGGCTGAACCACTTGAATAGATGATGTCCTCGTCGTCTGGATCACGAAGTCCAATTCCGGCGACCCCAGTGACGAACCGGTGACGTGGATCGCTACATTCTTCGCACTTGAGGAGGATGTGGCAAATGTTTTCTTCATCGTTGAAGTTCGGACACTGGGCGCTGTTTATTGCAGATATTTTAAAAATAAACGCCTTCGTAATTGCATTTCGGCTGCGTTTTCTTATGAGGAGAGTGCTCTTCTTTCTTGTAAGACCCTTTGTGACGCATGAATTATGTTCGGAGTATGTGGTCGGAGAAAGTTCAGTTATGTAACTCTTGAGAGACTTTCGCGTCGCATTGAAATCTGTTGGACAGGGAATAGTGCGCGGCAGTTCATGTGCCGCTCCTGCGAGTTTATCGGCTTCGGAATTACCAAACAATCCCACATGTGAAGGCGCCCGTTGAAACGCAATGTTGAATCCAGAATTGTGCTACTGCTTTAACGTGAGTTGTCTAATGGCCGTCGTTTCGGTCATGGCGTCAGGATTAGCTAGGCGTTGAAGGGAGGCTCATGAATCGGTGACCAGCACTACAGTTCGTAGGGTATGTGAGGTAATGCAGTTAAGTGCTTGCTCCAGGCACGTATCCAGGGGGGCGGGGGGGGGGGGGCATCCGAAATCTTTCATTTTGCTGGGGCCTCCTCTCCCCCCTCCCCCTCATACAGCATTTCGTCATGGACAACCCCCCCCCCCCCCCCCCCCCCCCCGAAACAAAATCCTGGCTACGTGCCTGGCTTGCTCAATTGCCTTAAGCTCTGCCGTGGTGGAGCTGACCACCGCTTGAAAACGGCCGATCCATGTCGTGTTTTCCTTTGGTATAACAAAGGCGCGCGGTATAGCGCTGCACGTTTATCATTCCTACATGTAGGGAGTCTTAAGTGTATTGTTTCGAATTGAACTTAGCTGCGCTCTACAGGGTGAGTTCGAAAAAATGTTTGCCGTAAAAACACAATTTTAACCTAAAAGAAACGAAGCATAACGTTTCTCGTCGGTAGTGTTATAAAAGATGAAATCTAAACTATCTGTGTGCGGTGCTTTGTTAAAATCTAGACGTAAAACGATAAGGTCACATGTCTAATGGTCAAAATGTGCGACATGGCGGAGGCCGGATGGGAGTCACTTTCGGCTGCCAGTTTATCGCTCTACGCCCCCCTACCTCGATGATTACGAACAAGAAATGGGACATGAATATCGCATTGGTTGCACAAAATATGTTGTCTAGATAGTCGGAAAGACAAATACATTACATAAAAAAAATAAAAAATATAATAAAAAAATTTCAATAAATCTTACAGTAGCGTAAACAAACACAGTATTGAACAGTCAAGGGCATTTTGTATCCGAGCATTGAGAAGACTAAGCGCTAATTTACAGAAAATGACAAGGGAGGAGAAAGAGCAAGACACACTGATCTAGGAGTTTAGTAGGGCACACATCAATTACTGCATTTACTCGAGTAATAACCGCCTATTTATGAACAAGGCCCTTCCGTCTACTTTCCCGCAAAGCACATATACAGCCAATGATCGCGTTGTGCATAAATAACGTAGCGAAAGACAGATCAAAAACACGATTCTCCATACAAGTGCAATCTTCACAGATGGTATCTTCGTGCGCAACCGTTATCTCTGTCCTGTAAACCACTGGTATTATGCTGTCGATCGCGCTGATTGGCCATCCCCGTGCTCCACGGAAAAGCGAACCCTCGAGTATAGACGCTTTGCAGCAGCTGTGCATGGACGCCGCCATAACTGACCTTCAATTTTTGTTCCCTCTTATTTTGTTTATTTCACTTCATCATTGCCATAGCAGGCCAGGTTATTGCCACATTAGATTCAACTGCGTCCTTTTCGAAAGCATCGGCCTTCGTAGAAGATCGTCAACTACCGTTGCAGTTGCTCGGCATCTCGGTAAGACAAGAGAAGGTCAGCAATGGCAGCTGTAATTTGGCGCGTGTGTAAAGCGTCTATAGCCTTAACTGCATTCCTCTATGGTGGTTTCACGTGACATACTTCCGCCTCAAAACCTTGCCAGACGCCACGTGGATGAACCTTACCCTTATGTTTTTTCTATAAGTGGAAGCAGTGTTTTTGAGATCGCTCGACTTCTTCCTCATTGTAATGAACTACTCCAGCCAGGGCAGCCTGGAGCATAAAAGAGCTTCGGCTAGACTGGAATTTTATACATACCGGTCTGTATTCGGACGGCAGACGAGCTGGCGACAGAAAAGTTTAGCAGTCGACGTTGCCCGGCAGACGTGAAACGTTATACCATCACAGACGTTTATATAATCGTTCAGCAGCGTGTCCAGCCTGTTCAGCCAGACGCTTACACTCACGGAGCTCTTCAACAGATAATTTAGGGCGTTGCATCCGTACACTTGGAATGATAAACCTGCTGATCTTCCAGAAACCTCTAACCGAATCCTCCTCACCCACCCCGCCTCCTCGACTACATTTCCTCCTCGCTTCCCCACGGGTCACATGACCTTCCCGTTAACCAATCAGCGCCGAGTACCTCACTTCTTCTCTCCAACCCGTAAACCAATCAGCACCGAGCCTAGCGTCCATGCTTTTATCTAGGCTTCACTTTTGGGTTTCAGAAACGCCGTTCACCTAGACAAATAACGTTTCAAGTTAGAATTAACGGAGTAAGCCTGTGTTTACAGGGTCCAAACATGCGTCCCTAGTTGCACTTACTGGGTTCTGTCGTCGATAGAGTTCGAGAAACGCTATACTCGCGTGTTTCACCTACACCAAAAACGTAGCCGATAACTACTCGTTTGCTTGCAAAGTGGTGAATGCGGTTCATAAAGATGGCAGAACGCGGCTTACTGGAAGCGGAAATGGGTTACGTGAAATTGCCCTACAGTGTCTGGCAATAGTAGAGATTCGCACTTTATTTTCATTGTACAAAGTTTATTTCAATGTGCACAAAACTTTAAAAAAATTAGAGAGCAGGCAACTTAAATGCTACCCGATACAAGATTCCCTTCTCTTCAGCGGTATACCTCGCGATCCCGCCGATCGCGTCTGAACGGAATCTTACATTGCCCAATAAAAAGTTCCTGAGATCTACGAGCATCTTCACTCAACTTCGATTCAGAAAGATTGCGTCTTCCGATGTTTTGAGCATGTTCCGATCTCTCTCTCTTTCTTTAATTTTGGAAGGTAGCTGTCGCGCCTTGAGAGCGCTCGTAGGGGAAAGGAACAGGACGACCCAGCTCTGGTGAACGATTTAGTTCAACTTCCTCCTTTTCTCCCTTTTTCGCTCTCATGCCCGCGCGCCAGGAAGGATCGTTTAAACCTTAATTTTCAACACCCTGCCCCCCAAATGAGCAAGCCGCTCATTTGATCACCAGTTCTCAAATGGGTAGAGCATCTGCACGGGCCTTCGTGTGCAGGTAGTCGAGGGTAACATGATCGCGCAAGATCGCACGTGGCCGTCTCTACCGTGAAAGACATCGGTGACGCGGACGGTTCTCCACAGGTGACGTGGGGTGTTGTCATCGTGCAGCAAAACCACGTCCACAACTTTCGGTGTGCAGCTGCCAGCAAGTCGGGCGAGATGTGCTGAGCGAAGCTCTCGGAAATATTCTTGCTTCCAACTTTTCCAGAATTGGCCCATGAGGCGCTGCCGATACTTCCAGTGGTGGGAAAGGGTTTCCTTAGACGACGCCTAGGGCGGTTCGACCTCGGGAAGTGTGGTCAGTCTTCTCCCGATGAGCAAATGTGCTGGCGTCAAGGCTCCTGGCTCGCCAGGATCTGCGTGGAGGTATGTCAAGGGCCGCGAGTTTACTGTAGCCTCAACGTCAATCAAGATAGCCGTCAGCTCCTCGAACGATAGGCTCTGTCGTCCAAGTACCTTTCGGAGGCAGACCTTTACCGAACGCACCATTCGTTCCTACCAACCGCCCCACCATGCCGCTCTCTCCACGATGAACTTCCACGTGATTAGCTGCGAAGTGCAGAAATCCTGCAACACTGGGTTGCGCATTATTTCCCATATAGCCCTCAGGTCTTTCGCAGCCCTCTTGAACGTAAGAGCATTATCACTGTAAATCGTGCTCGGTATTACTCTACTAGCCTGAAAGCGTCGAAGGGCCAGAAGCCAGGGTGTCGTGGTTACGGAAGAGACGAGCTTAGGTGTACAGCTCGAGTGGTTGCGCAAGTGAAAAGGGCAATGTACGCCTTTACGTCGTCACCGTCGGTCTTGACGAACCAAGGTCCTGCAAAATCGACTCCTACGACTTGGAAGGGGTGACCCTCGCGGACTCTGTCCCGCGGTAGCGGTGCGACTGGTGCACTGGCTGGCTGGCTGTGCAGAAAAGCGTCGGCATACTCGACACTGGCCGATCACCGCCTTTACCGTTCTCCGGGCGCTGAGCAGCTAAACCCTCTGACGTAACTCCGTCATCGTCACCTGAACGCCTCCACGCAAGGTGCGCTGATGGGCTGAAGCGGCTACTAGCTTACTCAGGTCATGATCTTTCGGTAGAATAATGGGATGACTAGCACCCTCCGGAAGTAATGCGTGATGTAGTCGGCCGCGGATCCGCATAACGCCAGCCTCGTCACTGAAAGGTTGTAGATCCTTTATCTTTGATCTTGCCGAGATTTCTTCACTTTGGGAGAGGGAACGAATCTCAGCGTCAAAGCATTCATGCTGAGCATTTCTTATCCACAAGAGCTCTGCGTTTCGAATTTCCGCTGCCGACAAGGAGAGCTCCGTTGACCCTCTCGGTAGTCGACAATTTTGGACGAAGCACAGGACCCAAGCCGTGACCCGCAGCATCCTCGTGTAGCTTCCAAAGTTCTCCAAAGTCAGAAGCGGGTAAGGTACACTTGCATCGTGGAGCAACACATTCACTTTATGTCGTCTTTCCGCTTCGATATCGCTGGGCAGATCATTGGCTGGAGACGCCGCAGGAGGCCAGTCTACCAGGTCACGCCTAAGCCAATCGGGACCGAACCACCATTCATCGTAAACACTGAGCTGCCTCACGGTTTTTCCTCTAGTCATCAGGTCAGCTGGATTCATGCTACCAGGACAGTGGTACCAGCTGGAGGGATCACTCTTGGCTTGGATTTCCGTTACCCGGTTGCATAGGAATGGTTTCCAACCTGTCGAAGATCCCCTGATCGAACCCAGCGTTATCATGGCGTCCTTCCAGTGCCATACTTCGATGCCAGTGTCAAATACGTTTGTTCGCAATGATACATTAAGTCGTGCTCCCAATAGTGCTCCCATCAATTCGAGACGCGGCAGGGACAGCGTCTTGAGAAGAGCAACTCTGACTTTAGCGATAATTAAAGTCAAGATAACATCTCCTGTGTTGTTGACGACGCGCAAGTATGCACAGGCCCCGTATGCGCTAGGACTGGCGTCGGTGAATACTTGTAGTTGCAAAGAATTCAGTTCCCCATCCATCCACAAGAGACATCTCGGTGTCGTGACTAACCTTAGATCTCTCAATTCGGTGCACCACGCCATCCATTCTTTACGCAAGTCATCTGGCAGCTCATCGTCCCATCCCACTCCTCGCTGCCACATTCGCTGAAACAGCATCTTCACCCGGATTACATAGGGGGCATGGAATCCAAGGGGATCGAAAATTCGAGCAGAAGCTTGTAGCACGGAGCGCTTTGTATTTCGGTTCGAGTTGAGTATGTCCTGTCAGCATGTCATCAACGTAGAACGAGCGAAATAGAGTATCTGCGATTGGTTTCCTCTGGTCTCTCGCAGATTCCAGGTGATGGCGGAGTGTCCCTGCAAGTAGAAATGGGCTCACAGTAGTCCCAAAAAGTACTCTTGTCATTCGCCATTCCTCTATGACAGTCAGTGGCTCGTGCGGTTGAGACGCGCTGGAAAACCATAGAAAGCGAAGGGCATCCCTGTCTACTTTAGCGATGGCTATCTGCAGGAAGGCCTTCTGTATGTCGGCAGTGACCGCCACTTTTTGCTTCCGGAACCGGAGCAGCACTGGCAGGAGTTCCGTGTTCATCTTCGGGCCCGTCTCCAGGTGGTCGTTCAGGGATCCAGTGTTTAATTTGGTCCGTGAGCTGAGGCGTCGAAGACGACTCGAAGCTTCGTTGTCGCTGAGTCCGCTCGAACCACTGCTTGATGAGGCATGTAGTAGACGGGTCCACTGTTCTGGCTGTCCTCTTTGACTCTTTCTGCATGCCCATCAACCATATAGCGTCTAATTGCCTCGTCGTACTCTGTAACGGTGCCATCCCGCTTCAGTCGTCTGATCAGGCTATGTAGTCTTTTGTGGGCTACATCATAGTTGTTTTCCAAGTATGCTGAGGTGTCCTTCCAGGGGAGAGCGACTTGATAGCGCCCTCCTTTCATCGTGATGTTTTCGTTGAAGTGTTCGATTACGTTCTTATGGTCCTGCATTGTGGTCGTTGGCTCGTCCACGATGCCAAGGCTGTCTAATTCCCTAAACTTTTGCAAAGCGATGGAATCATCTTCGTGACTAGCCCTGACGCTGACAGCACACACAACCGCATTCATAGAACATAATAACACCTGCGCTGCGGTGGTCGGCCCTTGGAAGGTCCATCCTAGCACAGTTGAAATGGCCACCAGCTCGGTGGCAATTTCAGCGCGTCGGATCTCTCCCGTAAGGAGTCACCACATCTGGTCAGCCCCTACCAGAAGACTTATAACGGCTTTTGATTTCACTGAGGGGAACATAAACTCGTCCGCGAGCTCGCCCGAGATTGTTCGTATGAACGAGTGGTTGACCGGTGTTTCTGCAAGCTCCTTACATATGAACGGGTCAACTACGGCCTCCAATATATGGCTCGCCGTAGCGTACTGGCTTCGCAGATGGAGACGCACGACCTTTAATCGTTGGCTGGAAATGTTTGTTTCTGTGCTTGCGAAGGTGTTAAATTTCAAGTCGAGGTACCCTATAGTGTCCAGTTGAAGCTTTGTGGCCACTTCTGCTCGGATGAATGTTTTCTGGCTTCCCCCATCTAAAATGCCACGGATGTGTGCAGATTTCTTGTCAGTCACAATCCAGCCCCTGAAAGTCTGCAGGAGAACGCCGTTGCCACCAGGTGAAGATGTGGAACCTGCCGTTAAGACGTCGGTGGCCTCTCCGCTCTCGGCCGGAGCTGCATGATGAGGTGAGTTTGGCCGCCACACTGGGATGCGCATAGAGACGGCATGTCTCCCGCCGCACGTGGTACATCAAGCCTTGGTGCGACAATCCTTAGAGCGATGGCCTCGTTTCGTGCATCGGAAACATCGGCTATCCTGTGCAAGCCGCCTTATTTCTCATCTAAGGAGCTCCCGGAAGAACATGTTCTGGCAGCATGATTCTCCTTTCCACAGAAGAAACAAGCGTCATCTAGATGACTTGAGTTTTGCAACACCATTGTTGAAGGAATCGAGATAGTCTGTCGAGGTCTGGAAGCCCAGGGTGAAAGATTCGCCGATGGACGCTTGTCACGTGAGGATCGCTCGCGGCTCTCGATTTCCACCCGTAGAAATTGTAGCAGATTAGCCAGCTCTTCTCCCGTATTCCTCGATGTATCAACCATAGCCTCACAACGTGTCGCACTACTGGAAGTGGCGGCAGTCTGTTCGGGGAGAGTAGGAGGAGCCAGTTGTGGCATATAGGTATTGATGCGATAGTACCCCACTACGATGTGTGATGGCAAGCTGGTCAGAAGTATATCAACCAGCATAGTTGCGTGTGTATCACTCGAAATACGCAGGGAACGCAAGCCACGGATGTTTGTTTGCACGTGATCGTAGACGTTCCGTAGTCCCTGTAAGTCGCGCTCAGACTTCACAGCTGGTAGCTTACACAGTCTTCCTAGAAGATTCGCGTTCGATTCGTTGTTTATCACCGAAACGTTCGGTCAGCATCTCTACCGCATCTTGGTAAGATGCAGCAGTGGATTGTAGTCCAGAAATCATACTGGCTGCTGGTCCCACGAGAAGCGAGCGCAAGTACTGGAACTTCTCCGGCTCAGAAAGACTTGTGCGGCAATGTACCGCGACGTCGAATTGCTCCCAAAATGGTTGCCATTTTGTAAGCTCACCTTGGAACTGCAACAGTTGTAGTTCCGGGATCTTCACTCCAGTCAACTGGGAGCTGCTGCCTTTTTCGCCTCCGGAGCGTGGCGGTTGCGGTGTCGTTTGTGCTCGCACCTCACTGACAATCCTTGCGACCTCGTCCTCGAAGTCAGCCACGGTGTTGTAGTCCTCCTCTAAGTCGTTGTCGTCGATGAAGGGCTCTATCTCCTCATTGACCTTCCGAAGCTCTTCGTTGCTAGCGAGCAGTCTGTGACGCAAACTTTCAAGTCTCTTGGAGTCCATGGGGTACGACTCTAGCGCAGCTCGTATCTCATTAATCAGCTTGGTGTTCCGGCTGCGTCGAACCGCTCGTTTCTTCTTTAGTCGATCCATATTCACCAATGCGGCGTCCAACTTTGTTCAACTCCCGGGTTTCGGCACCAAAGTTTGCGCCTTGAGAGCAATCGTAGGGGAAAGGAACACGACGACCCAGCTCTGGTGAACGATTTACTTCAACTTCCTTCTTTTCTCCCTTTTTCGCTCTCATGCCCGCGCGCTAGGAAGGATCGTTTAAACCTTAATTTTCAACAGTAGCAGCTCCCGGAGTTCCCTATTTCTGAAACTAAGCGCAAAAGAAAAATAAATAAAGAAAACAAAACGAAATGCACACATGGCATTGCTGCATGTGTTGCCCCTGTCACAGAAACCCGGAGTTTTAATACCAAAGTGGAGGAACATTGGCAATACGACATCTTACTTCCAGAGTACTGGTATCCGCACCATGGCTCGAAGTAGAAAAAAACAGAGCTTCGAAACAAAACGCGTGATATATTTATGTGTTACGTTTCTGCGGGTATTGCGCACGGGTGTTTTAAGAAACATCATTGCAATGCTCTTAAAGGCTAAAAAAAAAAACGCTCAAATAAAATTGACGCAAATCAGCGTAATGCTCAGGTTCCCAACGCGAGCTCTCGATTTTGGCGAAACTCATTTCGCGAGAAATGTGTAGATTCGTTCTTGCTTTTTTTTTTTTTTTTCGTTGTGCGCTGCCTTGGATTTTTTGTGAAAAGAAGAAAGAAGCGGCGAGAAGGAGAGAGGTAGATGGGAGCGGACCGAGGAGATTCGATCGGGAGTGCTCCTTATTCGCTTTCCTTCGTATATCTATAGAGTCTATGCTTGTGCCGCCTATCATAAACGTCGCAAGGAGGAATTGAAAAGTGGGATGAGTTTTTCGGTTGGCGAATAGGCGTCAAAAATCTCCACTGCAGCGCTTAGTCCTGTTTTATTTTTAAACTTATTTCCTTCTTGATGGTGTATCGTTCAGCCTGTTGTTTCCTTTTGCTATTTTGCTAACGTCGTTTGTTTAGCTGCTTTCTCAGGTTCCGTCTATCTAGAGCATAATGTTCTACGATCACTATCTCCTTGGATTATATATTTTCTATAGTATATCTACCTTCAAGTTTTTAATTATTTTTTATTCTTCGATTTCTTCGTTTGGTGTGTACCTGTTATATAATGCGAAGTTTTGATCTGAAATGGTCCAAAGTCGTACCTGAAGCATTCGTCTCCAAATGCACCAATATTGCCTCCGGCTGCAGGCGATGTCTTGGGCCCTACATTGTATCATTCGCTGTACGCCTCCCCTCCCTTTCCCTTAAAAAAAGGTTGACTCTTCTTTTGTGCAAAGTTATTTCCCTTCTAAGCATTTGTGTTTCCTCTTAAGCATCGTGTTTATGGCACTCGACTAACTTCATGTTCCCGCAATCGCGCTCGGAAATGTTATAAAAATTATAGTGCTTGAGCCGAAGAATAATTTTAACCAATTAGTCGGTGACCTTTAATTAACTAATTAAATAATTGGTTCATCGGTCTCTCGTGTGGGTTCATCAAATTTATTTAAGTTTGCAGACTCTCGAGGAATTTGTTTGCTGAGATTGCGATAGCGTTCGCGATGCACGATTACTGCGTATAGAAAAAGCCATACAACTTATTAGAGCGCAGCTCTTAGGCGCCCGCTTCCGGCTTGAGCGGCGTCGGCGTCTGTGTCGCCGTCGGCTTCGGCGTAACCACGCGGTGCATGATGGGTATATTTTCCCGCTAGATTTATCGGAAAAATTTCCCCGCTAAATTTAGCGAAAATATTTCCCGCTAGACTTAGCGGAGAGATTGGTGGAATAATTATATAGTTTAACAACCCTACAATCAAATTATTTGACGAGAGAGCTATTCGTTAAAACATTATTGTTTTATTTAGTTCAATTTCAAACACCATTATTATCATCGGCGAAAATCAGCGAGCGGACGCAGGCATGACCACCTGAAGAATACTAGGTACGTCTACTTTCTTCACCAATCACAAAATGTCAACGTCGTTTTTCTGGTGTGGGAGGAACGACTGCACTCACGCGCCACACCATCCTCCACTACTCACTGTGGTTCAATTAATACATCAGGTTGGTGAGATGACTTTCTGAGGATGGCGAGAAAAAGTGAATGGGCCTTGCGACATAAACTACGAGTAATTGATTATTTTATTGCGCGGTTGTGACTAGTGGCCTCTTTTTGTTGCGGCGTCACTAAACGAACACTGCATGTGAATTGTGTTCTACATTCTAAAGCATTGCATGCTTTATAAATTAACCAAATTTCCTTCTCCCTGAAGGCTACCTGTCCGTCTGTCCATGCGTCCGCATGTACCCCATGGCAGGGCATGTCAGCAAAGCTGGTTTGGCTGCATTTCCAGCATGAGCAAAACAATGCACAAAAATGCTTACTCGTTATTAAAACAACAAAACAAGCGATTACGCCCTGTTCGACTTGCTTGAGATCTAAACTAGGCGTTTTGCACTGTCGCTGTAAAATAACCTAAAGGGAACGATCTAACTGCGATAAAAGGGATAATAACTAATCCAACCCAAAAAACCCGGAAGCCACACGAGAAAAAAAAAATAGCCGGGGTGCTGTTGGTCGAGTTCATTTATTGCAATCTAGGCTTGACGTGATTGTCACAATCGCTTGAGGGGCTTGTCTTTTCCTATTGAGGGAAATATTGCTTCCGTCGGTGGTGCTTTACATTTAAGCTGTCGCGCACAAGTACCGTAGACGTAGTGGTCCTGACGAAGAAGAGGAAACCCTTAGCAAATCGGAGCGGTGTTGTGTCGTCGTTTGTACAAGAGACCGTGAGACCTCTTTTGATCGTCCGCTATGCTTTCCTTTGTTGGCTTTCAGGAATGCGAGGTATTTTCAAGCAGCAAAAAAAGACCCTTCATTGCTGCAGCGCGTTGCCCGGGACGGTCGGAATAAAGTTAAAATTGGCGGAACAAAAACGTTGTCTGCGACCGTCAAAAAAAAGATTTCTGTTTTTTTTTTTTTTTTTTTTTCTCGGACGATTCCTTCGACTCGGAAACGTTTTGTGTTCTGTTTAACGCATTCTTTTCGGTGGGATTTGGAGACGTTCCTTTTGTATATTTGATTTATTTATTTTAGTAAACGTCGCCTTCTGAGAGTTACATTCCGGAAAGAAGACTTGGAATTTGCTTCTGTCAGATAAAAATGCTTCAACGTAGTCTGCCTTAAAATGGTTTGGAGTGACGCCGACTGGATGAGTGATTTGAACGGTGCTGTACAGCTGCTAGACTGTCCTGAGGTCTTTAAGAATACACTCTTCTTTTTTTTTTGTGCGGTCATATGTTAGGGGGAACATAGAGATTTTGATTTGTGTAAGGAGATGCGATTTCAGCATTAGGTGAAATTGAAATAATCTTGGAAATTTGACATCATGCATCCGCAGTAAATTAGTCGGGAAGTAATTAAATCCGCCTTATTGGCTTCTGTTTCCTTCGGAGCAGATCACACCTTTCAAGCTTAACCTAGGTCTACTCAACATATCATGCACAGACTGCGTCTGCCATAAAATTAACCGTCACCCTCAATCAGTGTTGTAAGCGTTCGCTCCCCAAAACAGTAACGGAATACGCTACTCGTTACTAGCGAAATAAAGGGACGCTTTACCGACCTACGTTACCTCAAAATAAAAGCAACGCGTCGGCGTTAATTTTAAAAGTAACGCACGTCACTTTTGCGTTAATTTTTTTATAACTCGACGGTAACAATGTTTTTTTGTGTGTTTTTGTTTTTTGCGAACGCGTTTCTCGACACTGGCACAAAGGGCGTGGGCGTTGGGGTCCTTCTAAGGGTACTGCGTGGTGAAGAAACAGGCCAACTTTTGAAGGTATGTGATATGAGTTCAATGATTCATGACTTGGCGCCTATACTTCACTACAGCTTAAGTTCAGACGCAGCCGACGTTACGAGTTAATGGGGCCAATCACGCAACGTCAAAAGCGCAGGTCACTGCGCCTTTTTTGTTTATGATTGGCTCAGCGATGATGTAACACGTACAGAAACATGACGAACATGGTGCCCCTTTGACGCTCTCTGATTAACCGCATGAGCTCGTAGCGTCGGCTTCGTCTGGACTTAGCGTAAAACCAAGTATAGAAACACGAAAAAAAATTTCTGTACTTTTTTCTGAGTATTGAGAAGAAATGTAACGAGTAACGTAACATATTTACTCGTCACATGAACTAAGCAGTGTATGATACCCGTCACTGTTTTTAAAAAAAAGTAACGAGCGCGTTACTACGTTACCAATAAAAGTAACATGTTACCGGTAACGCTGTTATTTGTACCGCGTTACCGCCGAACATTGCCCTCAATAAACATAAATGTGTAAGTTGCCGGCAGAGGACCCCGGCAGCAGAGTAGACGAACTAAATAGCGTGTCCAATGCTTAACTATTCTTGCCTTCACTACCAGCTGATGCTACAACGATCTCACTATTAGAATTCAAGTACCGAAAATTTACGTTTAGAGCCGCATTTGTAAGGTTATTTGATCCCGGCATTCTTCGATTGTTACGCTTTACACTGTTTAAGATGTGGGTCGGCATTTCTTGCTGGCACAAAAACTACAAATTGTTTCTGCTACTCTTTGCGCATTTTTTTTTCTATACTATGGTTGATGCAATTGTCAGCAGAGTTTGCACATGATTCATCAAAATCCCAGCTTCGGATTAAAATTAAAAAGAAAGATACAAAAGACATTTAAGATTGTTTACGTGCAGGAATGCGAAAGGGCATTCCTATCGCATACGACGCTCCGTCGGTGACATCACGCTCCCCCACTGCGCAGGCGCAGTGAACCCCGCCGGCTCCACGGCTTGCGCTACGAAGCATCTGCGTTGCCGTGCCTGTGACCAGTGGGAAATTAACTGCCGTTTCTCTGCTACAGACAGTTACAGACAACGCGAGCTTCGCTTCATGGGACAGTTAATGCTTTCGAATTAAAAAAAAAGCATTCTAAGCACTGTCTTCTTGCAGGATTCTCTTTCA